AAAAAAAAAAAAAAAAAAAAAAAAAAAAAAAAAAAAAAAAAAAAAAAAAACATACGAATGTTCCGTATTAAACACTGAATAAACGGTGGAATTTCCGCGCCACGCGTACGTGATTCGAGAGGCAAAGTTCGTGTTCTTCGCGGCCAGAATTCGAATCTCCAAGACCCCAATCGGGTCGCAGTGGCTCGTAGCCGGGTTTTGCAACTTGGAGATCACCAGAGCAATGAAGAAAGCAACAACAGGCAGCATCGTTCTTCTTTTAGTTTTGCTTTCTCTTCAAGACTTTGTTCATTTTGCATTGGCGCTACCTCCTTCAGAGAGTAATCAGGTACCGAATCTGTCGTTATAGATACCTAAACACCCATACATCGTATGAGTTGATCTTGATGCGAAAACCATGGCTTGTGTCGTTTCTGTTTCTTACTACGATCCAATGAGGTTTTTCTAATCCGTCTCTAGTCCTGGATTGAGCTTTTTGGATTTGGAATAGCCTCGACCAATTGCAATTTTATTGTCTGAGGAAATGAAAATTTTCTGTTTGTTATTTTTTAATCTGGAATAAGCTTTGCGAGGAAGATTTCGCAACTGAAAAATGTTGAGTTAAAATACTTTCCCTACTCGGTTATTCCTTGAATGTACTCTATTAGGTTATTTGATAGGTCTCTTAGACGGTTAGAGTTGTGTCAATTGGGTAACAAAATTGTCAATAATATCATCATAACAATTAATCAACTCTACGAATCAATCAGTTATAAGCTACGAACATGTAAAGAGAAAGGAATAGGTAAATACAGAGGAATTAGAGTGGGTTAAACCTTTTAGGATTTGCATCCACTTTCGCCACTGAAAATTAGACTCAAATCAGCAGATACAAAACAGAGCAAATTTTTGGCAATCCAACTCAGGAATCCTAAAACCCAAGACCTCCTTTAAATTTTCATTCCCTAGATTAGTGAGTGTGGGACTCCCTCCCAACAATCCTTCCCTTCGAACAAAGTACACTATAGAGCCTCCCCTGAGGCAGAACAAAGTACACCCTTTGTTCTATTTGTTTGACACTTGAGTCACTTTTGACTACACCTTCGAGGCTCACAACTTTTTTGTTCGATATTTGAGGATTCTATTGACATGGTTAAGTTAATGGCATGACTCTGATACCATGTCAGGAATCACAGATCTCCACAATGGTATGATATTTTCCACTTTGAGCATAAGCTCTCGTGGCTTTTCTTTGGGCTTCAGGGCCTCATACAAAGGAGATGTATTCCTTACTTATAAACCCATAATCATTCTCTAAATTAGCCAATGTGAGACTCCCTCCCAACAATTCTCAACATGGGAGTATGGGAGTATTGAACTGTTTGATATAATTTAAGCTCTTGAGTTGATTGGTTGATTGGTGATTTATATTTGACTCTATCAGCTAATATGAAACCACGTTATGCAAAGAGGTCCTGAGCCAATCAGTTTACAGTAGTGTAACCGGGAGATTAGCCATTGTCAGCACTCACGTATAAGTTGGCCAAATTAACTGTCACTTAGACCATAAAAAATAACAGTTAGACTTCTGTTTACTGCGATCTGCTTGTCATGGAACTACAGAAATACTAGCGAAATGGATGCTGCCAGTTTCCCTGATGTTTTCCGCCTATGACAATTCTTCATTGCCCTTTATATTTGCTTACTTTGCTAATTCTTATCCTTAAACTTCTATCTGGATATACTCTTCTTACCTTGGTCTTTTTCATTCATTTTAGGACGAGGAGCAATCTGCAACTACGAGGTAGCTCTTTTTCCCCATCACAGTGGACTCTCTCTCCCTCTCTCAATTAATAGCTTGGTCAAAACCCAAAGTTAGCTGACATGTGGGAGTATTGATTAATCGAACTGAGTTACTGGATTCATTTGATATGCTGTATCTTCTGTGTATTAGTTCACCAAATAAGATGCACATACGCATATATTTAAAAGAAACAAAAATTTTCATTGATTTGGTGGAAAGTCACCACAAAAACTTACACACCCCTATTTCAAGCTTATAAAAATGCACTACAATTTGAACTAATACAGAAACAGTATAATTACAAGCCTTAGGTAAGCAACATCATTATTTGCATTGAGGATGAAGCCTAACCAAATTCATCCATCTTCCCACTGTTTTTAGTTTTCATAAATTCTTTAGCTTGTCAGCTTTCACTGTACCAAAAATATTTTAGGTAGATCACATGAGGAATACTCATGTTGGCTACTTCTAGTTTTACTTTATCCATTACAATATTGATATTGCATACAGAGGACTTCTCTACATTGATCTAATCTTAAAGCTATCTTAAACATCTTTATTAATTTAAACATAAATTTCAGTAAAAACTTAGTTATCTCATAGCAAATGATTGTAAGGTCAGCAAACTGAGTTTTGAGAATTCTCTCTTAACCAGTGCAAAAAATTTCCAACAAGTCCTTTTGCATCTCTGGACTGGTCTAGCTGCTCAGAGTATTTCCTATTCGTATAAACAAGGAGACAGGCTACCTTGTTTTAGCCCCTGTGCTGCCAAGAAATATTGAAAATTCAGTGTCTGAAATATATCCCATCATTCATTTCAGCAATTTACCTTCACATTCACATTTCTTCATCACCGCCAACCGAAACTCCCAATCCATGAAATGTATGTTTGTTCCGAGTCAATTTTAAAAATCCATCAACTTTTCTTCAACCATTTCACTTGCAATAGCAATTGATGTGATTCCGAAGGAAATATGTTGATGCCCAATTTTTTATTTCAAGTTTCACAGTAACGTATTCTACATTCTCCCTCTATATCTCTCTCTCTCTCTCTCTCTTTTTTCCTTTTTTTACATTTTTGCTCCTCTATTTCTCTTTCTGTCACTCTCTCACTCTCACTAACCAATGCATCTTATTGTTATCTTTTGTGTGTCTCTCATCCTAGGCAAGCCAGTAGCTGCTGCCTTGTGTGTCTTATTTTTCAAACATACTATTCGGCACTTTTGGCTTCACTATTTAAATTTGTTTATGTAGACCTCTCGAGCAAGACAAAGAGCATTTTGAGGAAGTTCATTGTTCCAGAGAAAGAAGTAGGACAGCCTGGAATATTCTTGAGGAGGTACGGACCAAACTTTCTTTACCAGTTAAAGATTATGGACTCTGCAGTTTGAAACAGACATGCTCATTGATGCTCTGTTGTTTCTACTTCAGCATTTGCTGCCGTTTGTTGAGAAGGAGAATTATCAGGTTTCAACCAAGTGTAGGCTTCATCCAAACAATGATCTCTTCAGAGATCAGGAGCAGCACAAGATTCATTTTGATATAAATCATTGGCAGTGTGGATACTGTCGCAAAAGCTTTCGTGCTGAAAAATTTCTTGATAAGCATTTCGACAACAGACATTACGATCTTCTGAATGTTGTATGTTCTTCCTTCATGTTATAATCATCGTTCATAATTATAGTATATTCTTTAAAGTTATCATATAACATTTGAATTTCAACCTTAAGAGAAGTATATGCCAATTACCACTTAGCTATACTCATGTTGGCCTAAAGTTATTGTATATCATGGTTATCATTTTTGGGTCATGTCCTTGTATCTGCTGTTATTTGGAATTGGCCATTGCATAATGCATAGGTTTCTCGTAGTATCATCTATAATTACTTGGATTTCATGTTATAACAGACAGTGTGGCCTTTGACTTTTCACTAACATGTGTCTGCTGCTTCCTCTAATAATTGTAAATAAGAAGGTTTTACTTTCATGACAAAAATGGGCGAGTGTCTCAAGTATTTGAATATCAGTTAACAACAAATGATCTTATTGCAGTAATCCTAGAACTAACTGATCAGAAAAAGAACAATAGCAAGAGAAGAGTGCAGAAAAGGAGAGGATGACATATTTTCTGAAGCAAAATTCACAAAAATTCGCTCTGATTGGCTTGTATGAGGATAATAGTGTAGTTCCAATGAAAGGTTAGTCGAAGTAGTCCCGTGTAGAAGCCGAGAAGGTCATGCTATCTTAAATCTCACCTTTCCCATCCATCTCTCCTGAGAAACGTAACAATTTCTCTGGAGTCAAGAAAGTCATGATATAATCAATCTCATCTATACTCATCCTTCTCACCTAAAATGACATGGAAATTTCTCTGAAACCATGGCTTTCCAAAAAATGCTCCATGGAGAAGTTTTTAATGCCACAAAAACTGCTCATTATCTGCATATATTAGGCTTTATATTCATGGTTCTATTTTTCTTCCCACAAGATATTTACCTGATGTCTACCTACATCTGAAGATTCTTGGACACGAGACGTATGTTAGCTTGGATTATTCACCTCAAGTAGCTCCTGTGCATTTTTATGAACTCAGTCTGTGTTCTTTATTTGCTTGCTTTTGAGTTTGATTGCTGTTGTTTACCCATGCTATTAGTAAATGCAGAGTCACGGGAAGTGCTTAGCTGATTTATGTGGGGCTTTACATTGTGACCTAAAGATGGATATCAAGTCACGTAAATCTAAATGCAAGCCTGCAGCTGCAGCTAGGAACAAGCATTTATGTGAGGTTGCTTAGTGGTACACAAAATGCTCGCTAATTTCCTGTCTTCTCTTTTACGTATTGCATCGTTCATTTCTTTAAGTTCTTTAACAGAGTCTTGCTGATACTTGTTTTCCAATTAATGAGGGACCATCAGCAAGCCGTCTTCATGGTAAGTTTCTTCTCCTTCTCCCCACCCATCAAGCTCTTCTCCTTTTCCCTTTTTAGTTGTAATATCTGTTCTTTTCAAAGGTTCCTCATGGAATTGCTCATATTTTCTAATTTGATGCCTGAGGTACTCCGTAGAGTTGTTTCTTCACCAATTCTGTGGAGCTCATTCTTGCACTGAGAAACAAAAGCCATTTTCTAGAGGAGCGGAGGTGTGCCTTTAAACATAAGCCATTTGCTGTCGGTTGTTTGATCATTACTTGCAATAAATATGTCAAGTTGGTATCATGCTTGTTAAGAAAATTTTGTTTCACCTTCAAATATCCCTTGTGGAAAGCCATGGACTGGTGAGCCGTCCAATTTTATTATTATTTTTTCTTTTTAAAGAAAGAAAGAAAGAAAGAGTGAATAAACACAAAAAGGGAATTGTTTATAGTTTCATATTCAAATTCTTCTTGCACATTTGGAGTTTCATTCGATGTTTCTTTCTTATTGATTACTTTATATCTATCTGCAGAGGCAACCAGGCATCTTTTACATGGCATCTTCAATACTGATTTTGATGTTGCTACCGATTTTCTATGTCATTGTCTATTTGCACCGCAGGTACTTTCTTTTATCTTATTGATGCCTCGTATGAATAATCTTTGCATGATTCGTAACCCCTTTTATTTATGGGCGTCTTTTCTAGAGAATCGAGAAACGGAATCGAAGTGCTTAGAAGAATCTCAAAGTCTGGACGTAAAACCAAACCCTTGTAACTGGTATCACCTTCAACCAAACTTCACTATTAGATTTTTAAGTTCGTCAACTCTGGGGCTCTAATTGTTTGTGGCCAAGGGTAGAATATCATAGCCAAATGTTCTATAGCCATGGTGTCACCTAAATGTACCTCCGACATATCTTGCATTAAACTAAGTGAGTTCTTTTTGTTCTCCGGCATTTGCATCTTTCTTTGTCATCATCTATTCTATTTCTGTTCAATTACATTTTTTTTTCTTTTTCTAGTAAAAGACTTGGAAGAAATGGAGGTTGATTACCAGTGTGAATGTATTGTATTCAGGATTAGAAATCTATGAAAAATATAAACTTTTTTTTTTTCTTAATAACCACATCATTCCTTTGTTTGAATCGACCTTTTTCTCCACTAACATCATATGCTAGGTCAGTCTTCTTTTCAAGATTGCGTGGCATTTCATATATTGATAACAATTACTTCCAAGTATCAGCATCAACTTTGAAACGGCAATAGTACGACTTTAATAAATCAATTTTCAGAGTGAACTCAGCCCCAACTGCCAACCTGATCAGAGGTTCATCCATGATCGTCTCATCCAGCTTGCTGGTTTAGTCATTCTTTGCCGCAACTCCCATGAAGAACAATCTATTCTATGGTATGCAATTAGCTCAACTTTATAATCAGAACATTGATTTTGGACTCGAGAGCAATCTTGAACTTCCTCTAGGATTAATCGCAAGATTCTCATGCCAGATGCAGGATCCTGCATTGTCTTAAAAAACTGGCAATCATTTAGTCCTCTTTACAATACCGGAAATATGACTTGGAACACAAAATTTGGAATCAGGAAAGACCAGCCAAAGCAGGTTGGAATTCTAACATTCAGGGAGATACGACTCTAAATGCAAGAGAGATCAATTCGTTTGATAATAAAAACCCATCTGGATCACTAAGTCGAATGTGCCTCAGCTTCGTTAAACTATCATCTTTGCTAAATACCAAGCGATTGCATTCATCAACTGTTAGAGCTCTCCTCTGCTCATCCAAGCAAACCACATGGCCACTTTTGATGTACGGTTCATAGGCCCTGCAAAGAGAATGTACAAGATGACCACCATAAGCTTTTCCAAAAGATTGTAAATCAAGGCCTGAGGAAGTTCTGAGAGAAAGCATCACAACATCCATGGCCATGTCCTTGATATCAACATCATTATCTCCATGGCAATCCACAAGACCCTTCTCTAAGTTCTGTACATAACTGGTGTATTCCTTCAGTTTCCGCGGCCTGGAGAACCTCAAACTACCGAGATAACTAGCCGCCCCTAAACCAAAACCATAGAAAGGATTGTTCTTCCAATAAGTAGAGTTGTGCTTGCACTCAAACCCGCTCTTGCAGTAACTACTGATCTCATAATGGCTATAACCTCCCTCAGCGAGTGCCTTTGAAGCCATTCTGTAGAATCCAGCTGAATCTGTATCAGAAGGCAATGGAAATTCCCCTGGCTTGTACCTGCACATGCCCATGTTCAAATTTCACATATATAGCAACAATCTAAAATGTTCATATCCAACACACTGCTACTTACAATATCCCAAATTTTGTGTCTTCTTCAACTTGCAAATCATATACTGAAACATGAGTTGGTTGTGCTTCAATAGTGAGGCGTAAGCTCTCTTCCCACATCTCAGCTGTCTGGTGAGGTAGAGAAGAGATGAGGTCCATACTCCAGTTTTGAAGCCCACAAGACTTAATGATCTCAATAGCCTCATAAACTTCATCAACTCCATGAGCCCTTCCACAAGCCTTGAGTAACTCTTCCTGAAACGCCTGAACACCCAAAGACACTCTGTTCACATCCAACTTCATCAAACCCTCCATTTTCTTCGCATCAAAAGTGCCGGGGTCCATTTCAATAGAGATTTCAGCATTCTTAGCCATCCCAAATTTCGACCCCAGCACATCTAAGATAACTGAGACGAGCCTCGGCGGCACAAGAGAAGGGGTGCCACCTCCAAAGAAGACGGTTTGGAGGGGCCGGTCGGTTTGGAATTCTGATTTTGTGGCATTAATTTCTCGACAAAGCAACTCCACGTAGTCCCGAATTCGAGGGTCGTCATCGGTTTGGGAGGAGGAAGATCCCAAAGCGACGATTGGGAAGTCACAGTAGTGGCAGCGCTTTCGACAAAAAGGGAGGTGGATGTAGGCTGAAGTTGGGAGAATGGTAGTGGGGGTTTTGGTTGAGGCATTTTCTCGAACACTTGGCGTGATACGTGCATAAATATTGGGCATGGTGCACAGAGATGCTACTTTACGCATATTGGGCTTGCTTGATAAGGTCAAGAAAATGGGAAAAAAGCTTGATTTTAGAACGACCTGCTGAATGTTCATGGCAACGAGGAGAGGGAAGAGCGGAAGAGAGAGCGCTGCGGATGAAGACAGTCGTGGATATTTGAACCAACCGGGGGAATTTATAGCGAACAGAAGGATAAACACATGCTTTTATTTGGTTGAATTTAAAATTAGATCATTTATCCTTTTTTTTCTTTCGTTATCTATTTTTAAAATAAATCAATTTTCTTTTTCTTTTTCTTTATAATCAATTCTTGGACATAATTTCATGAAGTTGTTGTCTTACTAATTATCCATAATTTTTTTTTTCTTAAAAAAAAAAAAGATTATTTTATTCGAGGGAGAGAATGTAGTGCAAAAAAATGAAAGGCCAACTTTGAGAAGAAGAGCAATAAAGGGAAAAGAGGTATACAATATTTAATTGACAATACACCATCGTAACAAAATTGATTAATATTATAATTCAAAATCAGTCAGTCAAGGGTAAAGTAATATGTCCGATTAGTATAGATTTTTAGTCTTCAAATTTTGGTTTGGAATTCAAAAATATTCCTTAGGGTAAAAAAAGCTTAGTTTTCAAAAACCAAATGAGTATGTTTGGGTGGGCTAGTATTTATGAAAATTTGATAGGATCACTTAAAAAGTATCTTCTTTTTGCGATTGTGGTCAAATTGAACCGATGGAGGGTGAGTGCCTTGTTGACATTAAATTCAATAATGAGCTCGATTCAGACTCTCCACAATAGTATTGATATTGTCCATTTTGAGTATAAGCTCCCACGGTTTTGCTTTGGCTACCCAAAAGGCCTTATGTCAAAGGAGAGAGTATTCTCCACTTATATACCCATAATCTTCCACTGAATTAACCAATGTGAGATTCATTCTCAATAATCCTCAACCTATTATACTTTGAATGAGAAAGGTATGAGAAATGTCGAGTCATAGAGGAAGTCCAGATTCATTGCATTTCCACCCATTGTTCTTAATACTGAGCTATAGTTATTGATACTTGCTTTGTTTGCCAATTTTTTTAATCTCAGCCAATCATTTCTCCCTTCAACAGCTCACTATTTGTCTCTAATTTTATGTATTTAATGAAAAGTATAGAAGAAATTCTCTTTGCTATCACCAACGTTACAAAACCATTCAAACGGCGGGGAATGGCTTCTGGTGCAGATTCCGGCGGGCGCAACCCGGCACTAGACCAGGATACCGATGTCCCTGAAAATCCAGCCTACGAGTTTGCAGAGTTCGGCGGCGGCTGCTTTTGGGGAGTCGAGCTCGCCTTCCAGCGCCTTGCAGGCGTGGTCAAAACCGAAGTTGGTTACTCTCAGGGCCACACCCCAGATCCAACTTACCAACAGGTCTGCTCCGGAACAACCAATCACGTGGAGGTTGTTCGGGTCGTGTTCGACCCGAAACTCTGCCCTTACACCAACCTCCTCTCCATCTTCTGGTCTCGCATCGATCCCACTTCCATCAACCGCCAAGTACGCAAAACTTCCACTTTCTATACACATCATTTGTTTCTGATATGATTCTGTAAACCCAAAAGGCTTCTGGTTTGCTGTTGTTTTGGTTATTAGGGGGAGGACGTGGGGGCGCAATATCGATCTGGGATATATTACTTCAACGAAGCACAAGCTCGTTTAGCTCATGAATCAAAAGAAGCCAAGAAGTTGGAGCTGAAAGACAGGGAAGTTGTCACAGAGATTGTTGCAGCCAAGAGGTTCTATAGGGCGGAGGAGTACCATCAGCAGTATCTTGAGAAGGGAGGAGGGCAAGGCCTGAAGCAGTCTGCTCAAAAGGGCTGCACTGATCCCATTAGATGCTATGGTTAAGACCACCCAAGATTTCATGCCCTTTCCTCTGTTGCTTTTGGCTTTGGTATCCATGATTTATCAAAATAACATGAAAACTTGTATGAAATACTACTCTTTTGGATTATGTCTTCTAAATAATACACATCAGAAGTTGATGAGAGATTTGGTTCTATTAACAAGCAAGGTAGAAGGTAAAAAAACTATGAACATGTGAGAACAAACACCCATTTTTCAGAAATCAAGAATTAGTAGAATCCCCAGCACTTGTTTCCAATGTTTCCTGCACTTTCTTCTCTGTATACCACCACCCCTTTCTTTTTATCACGGAATCACCCTTCCCCTTCACCAATGCAACCTGTAGCTCTACCCAGCACGGATTCTATCCAACCAATCGACACTCTTTCGAGCTTTTTCAAACTGTTGGTCGATGCTTCTCCTCGGTTTCTCATAGTATTCCACACTTCTCCTTGATCTCTCTACTTGGTCAAGTGAGATTCTTAGTTTCTCTAGCTTCTCAATGTTGGCAAACTTGAATCCTTGAGGTCTTGATTTATCTAGTCTCTCCACGCTTTTCCTCGGCTTCTCTCGCCTGTCTGTGCTCCTTCTCGAGACCTCGAAACAATCCGTGCTCCGTCTTGGGGCCTCCATTCGGTCTGTGCTTTTCCTTGAACTTTTCCTTTGTGAAGGTGATCTCTCAACTGTGGATACAAATTTCTTGAGATGCCTAATGTATTCAGGGAAGAGTTCAAGATCACAGTGGTTTCCCCCTTTGAGCCACAAGGGTTCATATTTCTCTTGACACAGCTCCCAGAGCTGTTTTCCGTGAGAGAAATCAACGACATCGTCGGAAGTTCCCTAGAAACGAAAACATTAAGGAATCGCAGTCAGAATAAGATCGAACAGATCGGGTCAAAGCATAAAACACAATCTCTAACTTATTTGATAACGTGAGATCTTTAAGATCGAAGAACTTACATGAATTACCAGCACAGGGCACTTTACATAAGGTATTTTATCAATGTTCTGCAGATAATCAAAGGGAAAAACATCATGAATTCACAATATTAGATAAGAAAGATCATGTTATGACAAACAATATAGGACCTTATAGATGTCGAACCAATACGTGCGCTTCACTGGATACATGACTCTCAATCCTGACAATATAGGACTATGCAGGACAACCGCTCGCAGTCGAGGCAAACGTGCAGCAAGGTCCAAAGTTGGGCCACTTCCAACAGATTGACCATAAAGGATTATGTCCTCTTGCTTAGCACCATACTTCTCCTCAAGACACTTGTACGCAGACTCAATATCTGCATAAGTATTGTGCTCACTTGGCTGCAACAAGAATTATAAACACAAAACAAGTTATGAATGACAGAAGGAAGATTAACTTGTACTGAAATTTGAAGCGTGGAACCGATTATCTGCTTTTACCTTCCCCGTGGATTGCCCGTATCCAGAATAATCGTATCTGCACAAGTTTAAAGATGAAGTTTGGTTTAATCTTTGCAGTTAGTTGCTCTAGATTGTCCCATTGAGCAAAGATATAATGTTGCAGGGGAAACAAATCAATAGACAGCGAAAAATGTTTGTCTTTTCTTTTATGTCTACATAAAAAAGCCATGTAAACAGACTCAGCTACCACACTCAATCCACTCTGGTCTTGAGCCCACAATGGTGCTGTAAACTCAGAGGCTTCTGGTTCATATTTCTCATTTCACTTTGTCAGGAAGATTGGGAACGAGTTTTCGAAACTTTTGAGTTTAGTTTGGTGTTCGTACGATCGTGCGAGACGGGATTTCGTATTAGCCCTTTTGTGGTAGAATAAGAGTACTATGTGTAACAGCTAAAGCCCACCGCTAATAGATAAGGAAGAAAGAAGGTGAACAAAACCCAGGAGAGTGATTATTCAAAGTCCACACCTACAGAACCATCTTCCAAATTTTAGATCTGTGATAGATCACCACTCTAACAAATCAACCAAACCAAGTCTACTTCAAAAACTCAAAAACAGAGCCTAATAACAACAATTAAAAGCAACCACTAAAATTCAACAAATACTATAACCTTCAACCCAAGTATAAGCATCTAATTTCCAGCAAGCAGATCAAAATCCCAATTCTCAACTACCAGAGACAAGAAACCACAGATTGATCAAATGGGCAAGGTCAATTCGTCACTAATTCGTCACTAATTCGCCACTAATTCGCCACTAATTCGCCTAAAACATCAAATATAACAAACTCCTGAAACTCAGCCATTATAAGGAAATGCCCTCTAAATGCACGAATTGAAGAAGAACAAGGCAGAAATGGACATACCCAAGAAGATTAACGCGCAAATGGATACTAAGCTCAACGAAGAGCTCGTACATCTGACCAACATCAGCAGCATTACCATGGGAATAAAGAAGCGTAGAAGTAGCCATAGGGTATCGGATGTAAACCGCGACGATCTCGTTGCCTTTGCGGGTGGGGAGCTTCCAGACATCGACATTTTCGCGGTGGGGAAAAGGGTCCAAGAGAAGAAGGCCAGTGGGTTGGTCTTTGAGGAGCTTGTAAGAGGGCGGATTAGGAGGGAAGAAGGCGAGTTTAGCAGCCATGGACGAAGTAACCCCACCCATGAGCCTGTGAATTCTGTCAGTAAGATTGGGATTCAGAGAAGGAATTTAGAAGACAGAGAGCGGAAATTTACACATTCCCCTTGGGCGTTGAAGTTCCTTCGCTTTTGTTCAGCTTCCTTCTCCGCAAAGTACGTGTTAGAATGGGAGCAGAGAGAAGCAGGTGGGGGTGTGGGGGGAAGCCTTCGGGGCGCGAGAAAGTGAGAGCTCTATTCTTCTTCTTCACTTGTTTATTCAAGAGGAACCGATTCTGTCACCGCCAATGTCATGGAACCATCCGTGTTACCTTCTTTATGCCCACACATCTTCATATTATGTCTTTTTTTTTTTTTTTTAATAATAATTTTTAGGGAATGAATTTGCATGGCAACATTTGCAAATATTTAAATAATTAGGAAAGTAGTGAAAATATATATAAATGAGAGGCAGATGGAGTGATGTTGAAGGGAAGGATATATTAAATGTGACAGTTCAATAAATAAATAAATAAATAAATAAATAATATTTAAAAAATTAAGTTTGAAAACGGCTTGACAGGCTGTCCCATTTCGTTGCTCGTGTCTCTATGATTTTGAACCCCGCCCCCTTCCGGCAAAGCCCACACAAAGTGACCATTCTAATTCTTTTCCCTCCATTGCCTACTCAAATAATATTATTTTGTACGGTCAAAATTGACAGTAAAAATAATATTACTGAATGATTTGTAGGTAAATTTTATGTACTAAAACAAAATAAATAAATATAATATTGTTTTTGTTTCTTATTTTAATGAACATTGAGTTGCTATTGATTGTACTTCTCTGACGTTATTTTTTTATTGCTGCCCAAACAGCACATCTCTCCTTCATCTTCACTGTAAAACCCTCAATAATTGATGTATATATAATTATTATTGAATCTCAACTATCGTATAAAAAACTTCCCTAAAATTATATTTATTATATATAATAGATAAATAAAGTTACAAAATTAAAAATGATATCTAATAAATGAATTCCTTTTTTTAAAATAAATTTATATAACATATAATTTTTAAAATTTCTATGGGAGTCTGAGGTGGCATGTTTTGATAGGGTGGAAAAAGAAGAGAGAGAAAGAAGACTGTTCCACGTGTACTATAAACTCAGAAATTTTGCAGTAAAATGTTTCTTTAGGGAAGGACCACGGAAAACCGTTCTCCCAAACGACGGGCCACCACCAGGACAAATTCTCCGCTCACTAAATAATATAAATAAAATACAAATATATTTAACAATAAATTTTAATTTTTAAATTAAAAAATGTATGGTAATTTTAAAAATATTAAAAATAAATCAAAGAAACACAGACCCAGGTGGCCCAGCCACAGAAAGTGTCGGCCTGCCCTACACTACAACCCAGCCCCATTACAAATGGGCCTCACTCAATTTGGACTTATCGCCTTACATTCCTTTTCTCTCTCTCTCTCTCTCTCTCTCCTGCCACTCCCCCTCCCATTTCAAAGCTGAAATGGGTCAGCTTATCTTTTTCTTTTCCCACGCCGTGTCACGTGTCACGTGTCACGCTCTCATGTTGTCTATTTTGTTCATGAGCTCTCGTAATTTTTCATGTTTGATGTTCATTCTAATTAGTCGATATAGGATTATTCCTCTCAGTAATCTATAGCAATGACGGGTACATGACAAAGTTTATATTATTCTTTGCTCATTGGTGGAGGGAATTAAGAATCCACCAATCAGGAATGGGCTAGTGTGCCATTGCATTTGTCTCAATCAAGAGTGGTTGATCACATCACATGCTCCCACAATAATCATTTGACGCACCTCCATTGGTCTATGGGACACATGCCCTCCTATTGTCTCCCCTTTTTCGATATATTTAAACAAACCCAACTAAAAACATGACACGTTTCAATTATATAGTACATAATTTAATAATTTAATGTCGTATGTCACATGTTTTGCTAAAAAAAAACATTGCAGTTTATGTGATTTGATATTCCCCTCGTTTTATTCTACTTGCCCTACAAGACATTGCCTCCCTTTAACTTAAATAATGTCCAATCTCTACCTACTACATAGTTTCTAATATATGAATAATTGATACTTGTTGGGCTACCACCTTTGAAATTAGAGGATTTAGGGTTTATAGGGACCTAAAATATTTTACTAATGCAATTATCTGTACAGAAATTAATGGTGAGTTCAATTATTTCAACGACCACATAAAATGAAAAATAATGAATGCTCACATTTTAGTATTAAGAAAAAATAATAATATTGAAAAGTATTAACTTTAATTATAGTAATGGTTTATTACCCAGGCATAGAAATTTACAACGAAAAAAATAAATAAATATAATATTAGAGCAATAATAAGATAGATATAACTCTTTTAAAAATATGCAATAAACGTTACATTGCATTGTAATTAGAAAATAATAAGAAAAGCGTTTGGTATCAAGACAAAGTATGATAATTTTATTTAGGTTTAAATTACTTAAATTATAACTTCTAATAAAATTTAAAATTATAGCATTGGTTAAGTTATTAGAATTTTTTATACCATAAAATTACGAAGATGTCCGATTTCCGTATCTTTGATGGGTCCTCCCACACCTGAATCAAATCCCGACCAATCAGGCATCTCTCCATCCAGTGACTCGGATTCCCAAGACAACCGAAACGGCATAAACTAATCGCATCAACCGCCATTAGGACACGTGGCAAATAAAGAATGTTAAAATTATTCTACTGTCGCCACGTGTACCACACATCACACGTGCTCCCACGCTTTTATAACCTGAAAATCCCTCTACCGGATCTTCTCCATTACATACAGTCTCTCATTGATCTCCATGGTTTCTCAAACATGCACAATGCCAGGTCAAACGACGCCGTTTAAGCTTGCGACTCTCACAACCCCAAACACGAGTTGCCTGGCCGCTCACAACGGGCTCCTCTACTCCGGCTCCACCAACCAAATCGCCGTCTTCGATTTAACCAACTTTACCCAAATCGACACGCTTCGCACTAACGACGCCGCTTCGGGGTCCGTGAAGTCCATCGCTTTTGGGCGTTGGAAAATCTTCACGGCCCACCAGGACTGCAAGATCCGCGTGTGGAAGATCACCTGCTCGAAACGACGACACGGACACCGTCTTCTGGCCACTCTTCCCACCGTTAAGGACAAGCTCTACCGGTTTATTTCGCCGAGTAATTACGTTCATGTACGGCGCCACCACAAGCGGCTGTGGATTGAGCATTGGGATGCGGTTTCTGGGTTGGTGGTTAATGAGGGGTTTGTGTACTCTGTTTCCTGGGATCGGAGTTTTAAGGTTTGGAGTGCTTCCGACCATAAGTGTTTGTCGTCGGTGAAAGCCCACGACGATGCAGTCAACGCGGTTGGTGTGGGTCAGAACGGCGTCGTTTACACTGGCTCTGCCGATGGGGTTATTGGAGTTTGGGAGATCAGGGAGGGGAAGCAAAAAAAGCATAGGCTGGTGAGGACTTTGGACAAGCATAAATCCACGGTAAGATTAAAATAACCCCTAAATTTTGTTAAGATTAATATAAAAGTTGGTGTTGAGAGTGGACAATATTATTCTGTCATGATTGGTAACGAATTTAATGTTTGTATTAAAACAGATAAATGCGATCGCATTGAACGAGGGAGGGACGGTGATGTTTTCCGGGAGCAGTGACCGTTCGATAATGGTGTGGAAGAAAGATGAGGCGGGAAAGCAGATTGGGTTTGTGGAGGCTTTATGGGGTCATGAAGGGGCTGTATTGTGCTTGTATAGTGTCCGAGATTTGTTAGTCAGTGGGTCCGAGGATCGGACCGTCAGGATTTGGAGAGGTGACGTCACAAATGGTTATCAATGTACGGCTGTGATGGAAGGACACAGATCGCCGGTGAAGTCGTTGGTCGTGGTCGGAGCCGGTGAACGGTGTTTGATGATCTGTAGTGCCAGTTTGGACGGAGAAATACGAGTTTGGAGTTTGAGGCTTTGATTTATTCAATTTCATTTCCCTAAGTTATCCCTTGTAAATTAAAAGTTCTTTCAAATAAATAAAAAATATATATTTAATTATATAAACAATTTCAAAAATTAAACTGCGCACGTGACAAGAGAGGTGATTTGGTGCAGGCCTCAAATTGGGCCCTACTTTAAGCCCAAATAAATGGCATAAAAGACAAGCCCAAATAAATAGAATAAATGACATAAAAGTCGTTAGCCCAAATAAATAGAATAAATGACATAAAAGTCGTTAGCCCAAATAAATGCATATAAATTCTAAAACGAGGGGCAACGGGAAGAGGGAAAGCAGATCAAAACGTTTTGGTGCGGAATAAGTTGTAATTTTAAGGTTGCTTCTTGCAGACTCGCTCTCGCAGTCGCTAGTCTCGCTCGCCATGGAAGAGAGCACATTCGATCCTGTAATCTTTCATCTTCGAGTTTGATCGTTTTCCTTGAAGTTTTATTCGTCGATTGTTTGTTCTCTTAAATGTCTGCTACGTGTATGCTTTCCATTCAACTAGGTGTTTGCTTGTATATAATTGACAGGATCTGATTCACGCCATCTTCAAGCTTGAGTGGAGCAGAAGATCACTTGGTTGGACTTCGGATCGCTCTCTCCTTCCGTCTAGTTTTTATTTTCTTTCAATTTCTAGTTATCTTTGTTTCCTCTTCTTTCTGATAATTTCTTCATTTTCCGTTTTGGTGCTCGCATTTCTTCAGAGCGCGAGAAAAACGAGAGCTCGGATGCTATGGATTGTGAGGTGATTTCCTTTCCCGGAGTTTATTGTGAAAATTTCTGTTTAACCGCTATTATTTTCTTCCGTGAAGATGTTTGTCGTCGTTTTGGTTTTCGATGTACTGGTACATAGGTAAATCTTAGAATGCTCTTGTTAGTTCTTGAAGTTCACACGATTCTACTAATTTTGTGTACATTTCAACTACCGAACATATGCACTAGGCAGAAGTATATATGAAAGTTGATATGTAGTCTAATGGATTTAACAACAAATCAGTGATTATCTATCTTGTTGCGAACTTGGAGTAAGGTTCTTTCTCGATTAGTCCAGTGGAGTTGATCTTTAGCTCACATATTTTCTTCAGGTTGACGCTGGAACATCAAAGAAGAGCAGGCCGATGTCAGGTGTCATTAGTTTTTACGTCAACAACTTGTTTTTCATTTCTAAATCGTAGTTTCTATTATGCTAGTCTTTTTTCCATCAAGCTCGTGTTCTTTGAATGGTTGCCGTCTACCGGAAGATGCAGAAACCATTTCTAACCTCGCTATTCCCATGCAGCCAATGCTAATGCACTTAAATTGACCTCTAAACTTCTACAAATCTTTGTGTCAGGTACCCAAAGTCAGAGGCTAATTTGGTTTATAAAAAATTTCTTCTTCTTTTAGGTTAACTTTTTTTATTTATGCAGAGGCCGTACAGCGTGCTGCAACAATTGCTGAAGCAGAAGGTATTAGCAGAATTGAAGCCACTCATTTGGAGAGGATTCTTCCGCAGTTACTACTGGACTTTTGAGGTAGCATTCCGTTTCAATGTTTTGCTCTTGAAGATTAAGTTCTTGATTTATGGAGTGATTATTGGGGCTGTATCAGTCGTTAATGCCTAAGTTTGCTAATATGAGAGAGATCTCATAAATAGAATGGGATTGGGGGTAGATATTGGTATATGTTTCAAGTAGTTTGTAATTGGGAGGGTAGGAGAGAGTTTTCTCGTTTTGTAGCCTTCTTCTGATCCCAATACGAACATCAATCTAGTTCATCAGTCCAATTCTAACTCGGTGCTCACACTCCATAGTCTATATAGAAGTAGGTTTCAGAATGCACAGCTGGTGTTGTGGATAAATTTCTCAATGAAAGAACTTCCTATCCATTAAAAATTCCTCTTGCTGGTTTGTTTGGTTTTTGTAAGAGATTCCTCTAAGGTCGGCTAAGAGATGTCTTTTCCAGGAGGATCAAGCAGCCAATAAAAGAATTTGTATGAACAAGGTCTGTCTGATTCTTGTTCTTCCACTATCAAATTATTTATCATGATTAGTAAGTAATTCTTGTGATCCTATTTTTCGTAAAGCCAGAATAAAAGATTGAAAAGCAGAAAAATATAAAGGAAAAAAATAAAATTCCTTGATCAAAGTTGTTGAGTCCCCGTCCAGAGATCTTTTGAGGGCAGAAAAGTAAAAGCCAACAGAACGTGAATGATAGATATGGGTACTATGGTATTAGAAAATGATCATTAAAATGCAATCCAGGGTTCGTATTGTTAGGATGCCGGTGGGTTCATGATGTTAGACGAACACGACTCTCCACAATGGTATGATATTGTCCACTTTGAGCATAAGCTCTTATGGCTTTGCTTTGGGCTTCCCCAAAAGGCCTCGTACCAATGGAGTTAGTATTCCTCACTTATAAACCCATGATCACACCCTAAATTAGTCGATGTGGGACTTCCATCATCCAACACCTCCCCTCGAACAAAGTGCACCTCCCCTTAATCGAGGCTCGACTCCTTTGGAGTCTTAGTCATTTTTTACGGCCTTCGAGGAGGGGCTTAGATCCTTTTCTTTAAGAGTTCTTTGTTCGATATTTGAGGATTTGAGGATTTACCAATCTATTGGCACGACTAAGTTTAGGGCATGGCTCTGATACCATGTTAGACGAACACGACTCTCCACAATGGTATGATATTGTCCACTTTGAGCATAAGCTCTCATGGCTTTGCTTTGGGCTTCCCCAAAAGGCCTCGTACCAATGGAGTTAGTATTCCTCACTTATAAACCCATGATCACACCCTAAATTAGTCGATGTGGGACTTCCATCATCCAACACCTCCCCTCGAACAAAGTGCACCTCCCCTTAATCGAGGCTCGACTCCTTTGGAGTCTTAGTCATTTTTTACGGCCTTCGAGGAGGGGCTTAGATCCTTTTCTTTAAGAGTTCTTTGTTCGATATTTGAGGATTTGAGGATTTACCAATCTATTGGCACGACTAAGTTTAGGGCATGGCTCTGATACCATGTTAGACGAACACGACTCTCCACAATGGTATGATATTGTCCACTTTGAGCATAAGCTCTCATGGTTTTGCTTTGGGCTTCCCCAAAAGGCCTCATACCAATGGAGTTAGTATTTCTCACTTATAAATTCATGATCACACCCTAAATTAGTCGATGTGGGACTTCCATCATCCAATACATGATACCTTATGATTGTTTAGTAACTAAAAATAATTACGTTCTATTCTTTGATACGTAATATTGAAGTACTGAGAAGGACAAGTGTCTTAGTTGCAATCTGGACTGTAGCAGTACACAGTTGCTCCTCTTCCTGTTTCTGTGTGTCCTCTTAGGGTGTTCCTCATCTTTCTTAGACCTTGCTATTTCATTTTCAAAATTTACGCTTAGGTTTTGCCTTGGAATACGCAAGCAGATGATCAAAGTGCACAAATATATAAACATTTAGATATTTGATCGACAACGCACATTTTTGGAAGCAGAAATTAAACAGATACAATCTTTTACAAGCATTATTATTTTAGACGTTTAGAGAGGAAGTTTCAAGTACATCGTGCTTGATCTGTGACAGCATGCATCTGACATCCTTACTGTTAGGCCTCTCTTTTGGATTATCCATAGTGCAAAAGCAGGCAATTTTGAGGGCCAAGAGCATTTGCTCCTCCCAGCCATTTCCCAGGAGCTTCGGATCAATGGCTCTCCTAGGATTATCCGAAGTCATCATATTCTTCATCCACTTAACCAAACTCATCTCATCCGTGTCCTGGAAAAACTCATCAGATGGAAGTTTCCCGATCACCAAGACACCAAGCAGAACCCCAAAGCCGTATATATCGCACTTATCAGTGAACTTCAAGGTCTGATGATACTCTGGTGCGATGTATCCTACGGTACCTGCAACATTTGAAGCTGTCATGTGAGTTTGGGCATCTGGCATTGCTTTTGCCAGCCCAAAATCAGCAATTCGAGCTTCCATGTCGTCATCAAGCAAAACATTTGCAGGCTTCAGATCCCTGTGAATAATACGCGGGGTATGGTTCATGTGAAGATACTCCAGCCCAGATGCCACTCCGAGAGCGATGTTATGCCGAGTAAGCCAATCTAGTTCTTTCACTCCTCCCGAAACCTGATTCAATATATCTTGCAAGCTGCCATTCTTCATCAACTCGTACACAAGGTAATGGCAATCAGGACGGGGGACATGGGCCACAAGAGGAAGAAGATTACGATGCCGGATTTCACCCACAGTTCTGATCTCTGACTTGATCTGACGCATTTTCTTGCTCATAAACCTGCTATCCTCGTCAACTAACTCAGCCGCGTCCTTTGGGGGCTGAGTTATCTTCTTAATCGCAAACATTTTTCCGCTTTTTTCTGGTAATTCCGCCTTGTAAACTTCTCCACATCCACCTTTTCCAATCAGTTCGAGCGATGCTAGTGCATCGTCTTTCTCTAGAAAAGCCAGATCCTCTCGTTTTATAAGCTTAGGTGCAAATATTGAGGGTCCCGAATTTTTGCTTCCACCTTTTATAACTGCTATGATGAGTTTAACCATTAGTGAAAAGATAAACCCTGACAAACTTCCAGCAATTGCTCCAGCGAGGAACCCAAGAATCCAAGCAAGTACTATCTTTGCTTTATTCTTCCGGTTCCTATGAGGAGGTGAGGCCGCAGGAGATGGAGCTTGAGCACTCGAAGTTGGCGCTGTGGCGGCGGCACTGTGATTGCCTTTCGTACTGGACTTCTCAGCTAATAACTTATAACGCTTGGGAACTTCGGTAGTTGAGTAGAACTCAACGCCTTTCACGATGGGGTATGAACTTTCGAGAAGAGGGTTTCCAGAGAAGTTGAAGACTCGAAGATTGCGAAAAGAACGAATTGAAGCTGGGATTCTCCCCGTGAAGTAATTGTTGGCTATGGAGAGACTTTCCAAATGGGGAAAATACTTCAAGAAATCCAAACTCCCCGAGAACTTATTGGACGAAAGATCGATGACCCGAAGGCGAGTCAACGAGGACAATCCGGACGGAACTTTTCCAGAAAAGTGGTTGTTTTGGAGATCGAGAACTTCCAATTTCCGGCAGTCGACGATTTGGGCAGGCACTTGGTCAACGAGTTGATTATTAGAAATCGTAAGCTCTTTCAGCTCCGATAGCCGGCCGATAGCCGGAGGAAGAGAACCAGCAAGATCTTTGGACTTGACAATGAGCCTGGTGACCCTCAAAACGTAAGTGCCGTTGCTGGAGAGCCGTCTCTCGCAGAATACACCGGCGTTATCGCATGGGTAGGGGGAGAGTTGACCGTCAATACCCAAGTTATTCTTGATGATAGAAAAGGCTCTGAGATCTGAAGGATCAATGTTCAGTCGGGCATGGACATGGAAAAGGACGGAGAGAAAAACTAAGAATGGAAGGAGTTTGGGGGAAGGTAAAGCCATTTTCCGGCTGCGAGCGAAGGGAGTTTGCCGGCAAGCAAAAGAATTGGCAGTAGTGTTAGACTTGGTCTTCTTCTTTATAGGCGTGGCTCCAACGAAAAACGGGATCACAATTGGATGGCTGGAGCCCACTTTCATTTTGGTAATCTTTTAATTTTTATTTACTTTTCAAAGTATCTAATTGTTTAATACGTTAAAGTCAAAATCTCACATGATTTTTTTAAAAAAATAAAATTCACAAAAAATCGTTAGAAATTAAAATCTTCAATTTTAGGGAGAAGAATAGTACAAAGACCATCCCATCACTCGTTCTCATCAATAGACTTGAGAAGTGGAACAAGTCTAAGCCTTATTGCAACCTAAGCTTGGCCCAAAATTAATTTCTCAAAATTAAACTTTTTGATTGAATCATATTTGAATTGATTCATTATGTTTTTAGAGTGATAAAAACTAATTAAAAATTTAAAAAAATACAAAATAACACTATAAATCAATAATGTTGTCAAACAAATAATAATAATAATAATAATAATAATACAAAATTTTTAAAATAAAAAAAATATAAATATAAATTCAATAAAATTTAACAACATTTTTTTTAAAGTATTGAATAAATATATATTTTTAAAAACAATAAAATGATTAAACTTCAATGGGAAAGTGATTGGGTCTATCCAAGCTTGACGTAAACTTTGGGCTAATGAGTCAAGTGGAGGGTTGAGCCATGAGCTAGACTATTATAAGTTAGTCAACAGTACTTTAGACTCGTTGAGCTTGGCTTTAGCTTTTTTTAGTCAGTTTAGGTAAGTAATTTTTTTTTTCTGTTTTTGTTCAAAACTTAACTTGATTATTTAAACTACTCTAGAAAACGGATAAGCGGAATTAGTATTTATAAGCTTAATTTGAATCGGTGTGTTTTATGTTATTTTTCCTTTTTGGTTTTTAAAACTTGTAATGTTTTGTTTAGAATTTAACCAAAAAAAAAAAAAAAAAATCAAGTTAGTACGAGCTTAATTTAAATTGAGTCTTATTTTAGCATCCGGCTTCAAACATATTATTATTATTTGTTTGCGAAGACTTTCAATTCTTGGTTACTATTTAGATGAGGAAAAAAGCCTTGAAACTCCAACAACCAAGGCAGCGAGGAATGCAATTTTTCCCCCCAAATAGATTTTGACCACTGACGACAACTCAACAAAAATTTATTACTACTTTTATTTTATAAATTTAAAATTCTATCTTATACATTTGTGAATTTAAAAAAATCTTTAAAATTTTATAGATTAAATATTAGATACTACATTTATATTTTGACATGAAAAATACTTTGAAACTTCTTTGGAATCTTCAATACGCGTTAAAGTCTTTGTTTTCGTTGAAGTAAACGGAGAAGGGCACCAAGTCTTGTAGCTATTATCAGCCGTTGGATCCATGCTTTAATGCTTAGATATGGACCTAGTCCACGGACCCCACACCACATAAATGGTGTCCTTTTATGTCCCTCTATTATTATTTCTCCGAACACAAAAAATCAATTTTAACCCATTAAATTCATTTCAACTGTATTTTTTTCTTTGTTATATTTTGTTTAAAATAAATTATTTACCAGATTTTTATCAATTAGTAAAGATAAACTTTAATTTTAAAATTATAAAAACCGTGATTGAGGACCATCAAATCACTATTTTCGTTTAATAATACAATTAACTTATATTTTAATACAAATATATATGTGATTGGGAGGACAACTTAGTAATTTCAATACACATAATAAATAAATATGAAAGAAGACCCTTTTGTCCCATAAAACGAATTAATTAAATATGACTGCTACGATAGTGGCTTTGTGGAATAAAAAAAACACAATATTTTAACTAATTGGACTGCTCTCAATTTCAAATTCACATTATAAGAGCTTGGAATAAAATTAGATTAACTACCATTAAAGTCCTTTAAAAGCTTGAAACTATAATGCCCCATTTCAAACAAAAGTAACAATTTACTAACAAAAAAAAAAAAAAAACAAATAAAAATTAAAGCACATGATCGTATTTGAATTTTACTTTTCGCTAGCGAAAATGGAAACAAAGATTGGAAGAGTTTTTTCAATTTTTATATAATAGAGAAGTTTTTTATGGACTTTAATAATAAAGTATGTTACAAAATTTTTCATCTTCATAATAAAATTGATAATATTATATAAATAAAAATATAATAGGAGATTTCAAATATAATTTATAAAAATTCAAATTCAATATATATATTAAAAGTAGTGAAGCCGGGGAGGCGTGGATTTGCACGGGTCAGGATGGGAATTTGTTATTTTCCGTTTGGTCTCACACGTGTGAAAAAAAAAAATACTCAAGGCGGTGTGGAAATTTTGCTGACAGCTGTCTATGTATTTAATTATTCTGATGGATTAATTGGGAAAGAAGGAGAAAATGAATTTAACTCAAATATCCCCGTCACTCCGCTATTGTGCGCCTTCTATTGGACTGTACTTCAACACCCCCTCATCCCTCCGCCGCCACCGCCGTCTCCGTCTTCCCACCGCCCTACCACCGACCACATCTTCTGTTCCGAAAACCACCGCCACTATCATCTCCTTCTTACCTCGATTTCTAAACCCTAATTTCGTCACGGGAAATTGTCTTCTTTCCAGGATGGAGGTACTCTCTCCCTCTCTCTCTATCTACTGCTAATTCCCACCGATTTTCGTTATTTGAAATTGGAGATACTTGGATTTCCCCAAAATGGATGAATTGCCCCCCCATCCATTTCTGACGCTGAAGGTATATCGTGTTTGTTTGTTTGTATGTGCATCCACGACCCCCAACTTCTGGTATTTTTGTATTCGATTTTAGAAGGAAGAAGCTGTGTAAAAATTTGTTCGTCTTTCTCTCTTATCTGGATTTTGGATAATTCGAAATTGTTCCGTAGAGAAGCATCCCTTTGAAACTTCTTGATACATTCTTGAATCTTCATTTTAATCATTCACTGTATTTTTGTTTCAATACATGTAGTTTCAGGGGATTTTATTTCGAGTGGTATGTATAGTGTATTCTATTCTGGTATATTTTCCTTGGGATGTGCAATCTTTTGATAATGATATTCGACGGCATACATGTCCGAGTGTATTGGACGGACAGGTTTCGTCCCTAAACGGCCCGGCTTCTGAGGCTGTGGAGATTGATAAGGTAATTGCATTAACGATAGTGAGCTAAGGGTTGCATTGAAGATGAATAGCTTTATGAATTAATGAGGTAGACTTAGGAATTCCTTTGTGAATTGTTTTCTATTGGTGTGTTTCTATTAAGGGGAAGTACTCTTCGTTTTCAATTCTTTATAAGGGGTTGAATGTTTGATCGTAGTATCACATTGCAGAGATTCTGGAGTGGAAGTGGCATAGGTACAAACAAAGAAATGGTGGAGAATCTCCAGAACTATGGAGTGGTTAGGTCAAAGAAGGTTTCTGAAGTAATGGAGAGTGTAGATAGGGCCTTCTTTGTACCAGATGGTGTTCCACCGTATGTCGATACTCCCGTGCCGATAGGTTACAATGCCACTATATCTGCACCTCACATGCATGCTACTTGCCTTCAGTTGTTGGAGAAACACTTGCAGCCTGGAATGCGAGCTTTGGACGTTGGCTCAGGTTTTCCATCTTACCAACATCTTCAATATACTGAAAATTGATTTGTGGTTTCATCGTAACTGTTGAGTTCCTAAAGATGCCCAACTATGTTCGAGTTTGAGCAACTTAAGACATTTTGGCCCAGGACTTTACAAGGGTGTGGAAACCTCTCTCTAATAGACGCGTTTTAAAAACCGTGAGGGAAAGCCTAAAGAGGACAATATTAGTTTGGACATTGTTGACGATTGTTGGGAGGGAGTCCCACATTGGCTAGTTTAGGGAATGATCATGGGTTTATAAGTAAGGAATACATCCCCATTGGTATGAGGCCTTTTGGGGAAGCTCAAAGCAAAGCCATGAGAACTTATGCTCAAAGTAGACAATATCGTACCATCGTGGAGAGTTGTGATTTCTAACATACATTTCCCGAAGAATTTTATGTATTCTCCATCTTTACTTGACACTTCTTGAGTGCTCCCCCACCAAAAGAAAAGAAAAACATCTGAATTGTAGAAGAATTATTGTGGTTCGTCCTACAAGGGTTCAGTATTCTTTTGACTACACTACCCAATTGAAAATGCTATCTGGTTAGTGAAGGTTGTGGGTATTCATTCTTCAAGATTCCATTTTTCCAACTACTTGATTTCCAGATAGGGCTAAAATGCTAGCTCAAAAGGGCAAACAGACAAGGTTCCTCCGGCTGTTTATTACTCTTAAGAAGATACAATTTTATTACCCTTCATGTTTGAAATTGGATTTTCAACTCCAAAATATCAATTCCTCGACCCCTACCCCTTCCTTTATGTTTGAAATTGGTCACCTTGGCAGGAACGGGATACTTGACTGCATGCTTTGCATTAATGGTTGGACCCAAAGGTCGTGCCGTTGGTGTGGAACATATTCCTGAGCTGGTTGCTTCCTCAATCAAGAATATTGAAAAAAGTGCTGCTGCTCCTTTACTGAAAGAAGGCTCCCTCTCTGTACATGTTGGTGGTACGTTCGTCTTCTTTTCCATTTCCTAGAGCCATAATTGTTCTTTTAATCTAGAATAGGAACTCTTTTCCTTAGTTTAGTTGATCCATCAAGTGATATTATTGCACCCATTTTATTTTTGAACTGGAATGATATATTCTTTGAGAGTAATGGTAGTTTACTTTTGAGTGAAACACTTCGAAACCAAGACACTTTCACGACAAGACTTCGGTTAGTTATTGTTATTGGATGTTGTAGATGGCAGGCAGGGTTGGGCAGAGTGTGCACCATACGACGCCATTCATGTTGGGGCAGCTGCTGCTGAAATTCCTCCGGCTCTCATTGACCAGTTAAAACCAGGCGGGAGAATGGTGATTCCAGTTGGGAACATATTCCAGGATTTAAAGGTTGTGGACAAAGATACCGATGGCTCTATTAACATCCGCGACGAGACTTCTGTTCGTTATGTGCCTCTTACCAGTCGAGAAGCTCAGTTAGGTGACAACTGATCTGGTTTGGGCATAGCTTTTATCAAGAATGCTGTATAGGAACTTTTTGAAACCGTTTGTTGAACTATACATCCTTGTAAATTTTTCCTCAATGTGGATATTTGGTCCAAAATAAGTGTGTTTGACACATTTATCATTACGAAATTTCAACAGCCCTTTGGCCATGTTCTCGATGTTCTCGAGGGGGTTCACGTTTCAATGGATTTTGGGTCTCTATTAATCGAGATGGATCTTTTATTCCCGGATGATTTGTTCGTCTCCTTCAGTGAAGGATGTATCGAGAGCAGGGTGGAAGGATAAAAAAAGGTACAACACTTTTGAAACAAGTAACTCGCATCATCCAGAATAATAACAGACTTGAAATTGTGAAAGCATAAAGGACATCAAATTGCACTTTTACAAGGTGGCTAAACAATGGCACTACAAAACTCACCTATACTTTAGAAAGAAAAGATGAAGAAAAGCGAAACACAGAACAAACAAGAGAAAAAGGGCATTGGGTTTCATCATATCATGGTTCAGTTCAGAAATTGCGCCTTGGTTTTTCCTCTGCAACATTCACTCTGATTGCCCTTCCATCTACACTCTGCATATTTCAAATTTCAGAATGTTTTGTTAGGAGTTGACAAGATTCAAGTAACTGGGTGTTATCGAGTTTGGATTCTAAACTGATCCCCGTAAAGAAACTGCAATTTTCATACCTGTCCATCCAGAGCAGCAATGGCATCATTCATTCCAGTTTCGTCGGCCATGGTCACGAAGCCAAAGCCACGAGAACGGCCACTGTCCCGGTCGTAAAGAACCCGAGCGTCTACTACTTTACCATGTTCACTGAAGACCTGCTCCAGGCGTGCACTGTCTACTTCCCATGCAAGATTACCAACATAGATTCTGAAAGCTGGTTGAAATGTTCGAGGTTGGCGTTCTGGCCTTGAACCTCTGGCGGCAGCCTTATTAACAACCAACGGCCTCCCCAAGAACTCCTACAAACCCACAAAATCAATTGAAATTTCAAGAAGCAAGCAAAAATAAAGGGGCAGCTCAACCAAAGGAAAAAAAGAACCAATTGATATGTTTGAGATACTCTAGTAACAGCCGAGACTATAGGTTTACACAAGGACATGGCCTTCCTTTATAGGAACTTTGACCTCAAAACAAATCAATGGCAAACCCCGAGAACAAGATCAGCCTTAGCCAGGAAAGAGACAGAGCCACTCAAACAAATCAATCTAGACCCATACAGACCCTAACTAAGATTCATGAAACTTCTGAATTTTCCACTGAAAAGTAGGAATGAAGAGAAGGTTTCATGATAATCAAATAAGGTTTGAATTTATGAAGATATTGAAGATCAAAAGCTTACATAACGGTTGAAGGTATCCACAGCTTTCTCAGCTTCTTCGACACTACTCATTGTCACAAAACCGAAACCACGACTCCGATCTGATTGTCGGTCGTAAATAACCTACAGTCCTCACAAGCAGCAGATTAAGAGCTTAAACCCTAAATCCATAAACAAAAAAACATTCAATTCACCGAACTCTGGAATCTCACCTCAGCAATCTCGACAGTTCCAGCCTTCTCAAACAGCATTGCAAGCTTTTGACTATCAACGTCATATGACAAATTCCCAACATACAATTTAGCGTCTTCATTTGGCTCCTCCAAAGGGCCTTCTTCCTCGTCTCCCAGCTCCAAAACTCCTCCTCCTTCACCCTCACTTCCTCCATCATCTTCGCCTTCCCCTTCACCTTCCCAATCAGAAATACGAGACTCATTCTCACTGAGCTCTTGATTTTCCCAATGAGGGCCTTCTTCGCCATCCTCGTCGCCGCTGAGTTTTGGGTCAATGGTGATGGTATCGTCTTCTTGGCCCCACTCCGAAGACTGGGCTACAGAGGCAACTAGCGATGAGAGATGTGTCTTCTTCTTCGAGGAGGAAAAGAGAGAAGAACAATGAGAAGAGGAAAGATGGAAGGGGGCGGTGGTGAATTTGGAAGGGAAAGAGAGAAAAGAGTGCGGGGGTCTGCAGGTGAAGAGAGAAGGCAAGGAGAGAAGGCAAGAATCTGCCTTGGATAAGGGCTTCAAAATTGAAGTGGCTGAAGAAGAAGCCATTTCTGAATCTCAGGGAGAGGAGAGGAGAGGAGGAGGACGAAGAAGAAGGGTTTTAGAGGAGAGGCCTAACACCCAGGAGGTGAGGATAAGGGTCAGTGAAGGAACAGAGAGAAGAGAGAGAGAAATTAGCGGACTCAAAGCATAAAAAGGCCCACATCTTGGGCTCCACACAACAAGGTCCAGTCAGATGAGTTTAGGCCCAAAATCGTATTTGGGTTCAACACAACAAGCTCCAATAGGCCCAGTTCAAATTCTTATTTGGACTTTACATAACAAGGTCCAGTGGGCCCAAATTCTTCTTTGGGCTCTACAAGACAAGGTCCAGTCAGATGAGTTTAGGCCCAAATTCTTATTTGGGCTCTACACAACAAGGTCCAATAGGCCCAGCCCAAATTCTTATTTGGGCTATACATAAAAAGGTCCAGTAGCCCAAATTCTTCTTTGGGCTCTACACGACAAGGTCCAGTCAGATGGTTAGGCCCAAAATCTTATTTGGGCTCTACACAATAAGGTCCAATAGGCCCAGCCCAAATTCTTATTTGGGCTCTACATAACAAGGTCCAGTAGGCCCACACAACAAGTTCCAATAGGCCCAGCCCAAATTCTTATTCGGGCTCGACATAACAAGGTCCAGTAGGCCCAATTTCTTCTTTGGGCTCTACACGACAAGGTCCAGTGGGCCCAAATTCTTCTTGCGGCTCTACCCAACAAGGTCCAGTGGGCCCAAATTCTTCTTTGGGCTCTACACAACAAGGTCCATTGGGCCCAAATTCTTCTTTGGGCTCTACACAACAAGGTCCAATGGGCCCAGCCCAAATTCTTCTTTGGGCTCGACATAACAAGGTCCACTAGGCCCAAATTCTTCTTTGGGCTTTACACAACAAGGTCCAGTGGGCCCAAATTCTTCTTCGGCTCTAGACAACAAGGTCCAGTGGCCCAAGTTCTTCTTTGGGCTCTACACAACAAGGTCCATTGGGCCCAAATTCTTCTTTGGGCTCTACACAACAAGGTCCAATAGGCCCAGCCCAAATTCTTATTTAGGCTCTATACAACAAGGTCCAGTAGGCCCAAAATCTTCTTTGGGCTCTACACAAGGTCAAGTGGGCCCAAAATCTTCTTTCGGCTCTACACAACAGGTCCAGTGGGCCAAAATCTTCTTTGGGCTTACACAACAAGGTCCATTGGGCCCAAATTCTTCTTTGGGCTCAACACAGGGTCCAGTAGGCCCAAATTCTTATTTGGGCTCTACACAACAAGGTCCAGTCGGCCCAAATTCTTCTTTGGGTTCTACACAACTAGGTCCAGTCAGATGAGTTTAAGCCCAAATGAAACCAAACTTTTTATTAAATAGTGTGATTCTTTTACAAGATTTAGCCGAAATGAACGGCTGAGATTCATATTTCAAACAAAATATTCCTCATGCTCAACATATCATCAATATACAAACTCTATCTCTCTTGAAATGGAACCATCTTCAAGTTTCACTCTTAATAGTCCACTTCCAGATTCATAGGTAAACTCCTCTTCTTTCAGGTCAACTGTGCATCGGCTTGGTTTCGTGCTCGAGTACGCTCCAAATCTGCCACAGAATCGTCCCCTCATTTTGATGGTGCATTGTGAAAGATCCACACTGTGACTTAGAGTTTCGATAGCTCCTCCTGAATTATACATGTCGAGCAATCCTATTGGTGCGAAGTGAATATCGTTGCCGAAAACCTGATCATATAACCATTTAGATCAATAACTAGTTTGGAAGTGATGATGACATTCATAACTTATATGTATATATATATATATATATATATATATCTATACTGACCCTGATTGGAGCAATGGTGTATATCTCACACTCTAAAGTTCTCAATCCAACCTCAACAATTTCTTTCCGTTTCAATTTAGAAAGAGATCCTACAAACATAAGTTCAAACTTTTCAGCTAAAAGTGTCTGATCATCAGAGAGAAATGGGCAAAAAAGGAGTGGAAATCAAACCTGAGTTGAACGCATAAACTGCACAATCTCCATCCCAGTTTTCACCTGCAACGTCTTCAAGAAATTCTACATCATTTGGTCGGACACTACCTGTGATTGTTAAATTTGTAGACTTTGGGGTATCTTCATTCTGAGCTACTTTCATCAATGGCCACTGTCCTGCGCCTTGGCAGTTAAACACGCCTACGATCCCGGTTAACTTGTTCAAGTTCCATATTTTCAATACACTGCAGGGAAGCCAATGCCACAAAAGGTTTAGCGGTTCGAAGTTCCATGCTTCGGTTCTAATGAGACTGATAACGAACATTTCTTCCATACCTTTTTCCATCCATCACAGGGTCCCGAAATAAGCAATCTCGAGTAGGCCGACCTGCATGTCTTGCCCGGAGGACTGATCCATCAGGTAATACTAGCTTCCTGAGTATCTTGAAATCATGGTTCCCGGGCTTGTCGCTGTTTTGATGTTAGTTCGAGTTAGCAATGATTTCAAAGAGCTTAGCTAATACAAATTAGAAACATGTCATAAGCAAGTGTACTACCTAACATATACAGCACAGCCACCCAACGCTCTTGCTGCACCATGGAACTCAGCTGTTTCATGTTTGCTCTATAAATTTTTGAAAAAACACAACGTTTTAGATTTCGTGATCTTAAGTGTCTCCAACGATGCAGTTTTTAACCGAAAAACTTACATGAAACATGTCCCAATCTGGCACAACAATCTCCCCTAATAGAAGGCTATTAAAAGCCACAGAAGCAACATGTAAAGTTTGAAACGTTGGCTCTCTAGGCATGAAGTCCTCTGACACTCTAGCAACTGCACTCTTCTTTGAACTGACAGAAGAAATTAACAAATAAAAAAATGAACGTCGAAAAAGTTCGTTGTCTGAGGCATTTAGGAGTAAACAAATCGACAAACCTGTATATCGAGTCGGAGTTATGACTCATGCAACAAATCAGATTAGTTTCTTTGAAGTTTCTTACAACTGATTGTTCTAACGCTTCTTGATACTGTCTAGTGATTGATACACGTCCACCGTGTCCTGTACCTAAAGTCTCCATTATGTTTTGGACATCCACCTTGACCCCGTCAATGCCAATGCTCGCTAGATAGCCATGGAGATCATTGTAGAACTCGTAAATCTTCTCGGGGTCGATAACTCCAAGTCCATATTTCTCCAAGATATCCACGACAACGTCTGTAAGATTGCTAACGTTCCCTGGTGACTGAATGGGATACTCGATCTTAGGATTGTACTTCTTCATTGATTCAGAAGACGGGAGCACGCCTCCCCAGTAACCAGCTAAAGCATGCCATACATAGACATATCTGCAATGTTATAAAGCAAATACTGCAAATATCAATAATACCATCCTCAACAAAATTTTGGATACCAAAAGTGAATGAAGAGAGTTAATCATGATTGTAAGTGAACTCACTTAAGCCCATATTGTTCTTTGATGCTATGAACAAGCTCCTGTAGAGAATCATCTGAACCAGAACCCCTGAACTTTTTGTTCTCTTTGATGTCCGATAGTCTCGTGGCAAACCTACAGTTCGAGAAGTAAAATTGTACTAAGAGAGTGATTCCGAGACCAAAAATTTTGATTAACGAGAGATTACTAAGTTTCAGCAGAAAGGTCCATGCTTACTGTATCCATTCGATATCCGGTTCACCTTCTTTGCGATATTCGTTTACGGTCTCTTGCCATCCATCATCAATAATTAGAAATTTCGGGGAAATACCTCCATCCGAAAAACTATAAACAAAAATGCAACTCATAAAATTCATCTAAAATGGATCATGAAGAATGATTGTCATGTATAAAGTTTCTCGTCTTTTATTTTACCTCCGGAGACCTTCCTTTATCCCCTGTGGATTAACATCGGTGTAAAACGCATCCCAAGTGCACCAACCAAACAAGTCCAAATGCGAAGGAATCTATCAAAAGGAAAACAAGATACGACGTTTTAACACGAATTCCTGTAATAACGAAACAGCTAAGAACAATATGACTTTGATCACCTTCTTGTTGTCGATGCAACTAAAAGTTCCTTTAACCTTTTCGAGTACCCTACACGACAAGACGAGGTGAACTTAGAAGATTTCGTTCCCGTTGTTAACTTGTTTGAGAAACCACAAAAAAAGGAGAGAGGCATACTTCATAGAATTTGTGATGAGCTCAAAAGGATTGTCTCCTGAGTTTATAAATACAGCTTCCAATGTTTTTGAAGTTTGAACATTAACATCCCCTAAAAGAAAACACCAAAATCAGATCCAATTCAAACATATCCAAAAGGAACACCTATGATTAAACAGAACTGACCACTCTCAGCACATAATTGAAGCTCATTTTGTGGGGTTCCTTGCAAAGTTGCACGGAATGATCCATCCAAGACAGGCAAAATCAGGATGTAATAAGACCTATCAGTGTCTTGATCAGCTGAACTTTCATCATTCAAAGCAGATTCTTCTGCCACTTTTAAAAGAAGCATTTGGGTTTCCACAGGCACTTCACTGCCTGACTTCCCAATTCTTGGTATCATCCACCACATTTTGAATCTGTATAGGCATAAAAACTCGTGCCTTCTGCATTGAAACCCCCAAATCCCATAAGGAAACGTTAACTTCTCATAGTATATGTAAGACTTAAATGCTGGTATAAGCATAGTTCTCTGTTTGTTCATCAGATATCACATCAAAGCAAGAAGATCCATATGGGATCATAAAACTATGCCATCCGATCCATTCCAAGCAAAGGAAAAAGGTCAAACAAGGCCACCACAACATGAGCTCAGCTAATTTAGGGAATGACTATGAGTTTATAAGCGAGGAATACTAGCTCCATTGGTATAAGACCTTTTGGGGTAGCCCAAAACAAAACCACGAGAGCTTGTGCTCAGAGTGGATAATATCATATCATTGTGGAGAGTCGTGTTCATCTAATAGTATAGATTATCTCTTATACATACAAGTGTAAAATCTCCAAGAAAAGGGCAAAAGGAAGATAAAATACTCACTCAAGAATTCCGACTGAAAACAGATGACGAGAGCTAGAGGTAGAAGCAGTGGCGCCGAGGAAAGCTGCCCGATGCGTCACTGGAGAGACAACAACATTGTCCGG